CACACACACACACACACACACACACACACACACACACACACACACACTCACTCAGGCCCTTGTCTGGTATTAACGCCTGAAGCAGGTCACATTCCAGCCCAGCTGTGGTGGCCTGCCGAGTCGTGTGTGTTGTGTTGTGTCTGGGTCTGGGGCCCTCGCATAGCATGCACCCCACCGGCCGGCTGGTCGTGTTGCGCGGCCCCTTTCATGTGCGAGAGGCCGGGGCGAGGGGTGGGGGTCCCGGCTGATTTCCCCTTCTTTCATTCACTCCACTGGCCACATCTGGGCAGTTTTGAGACATAACAGAAAACAGAGCTGGAACAAAGATGGGGAGTGAAAAGTTAAACACAAAGCAATGTGTGCGTCAGGACTGAGCATCGGGCTTTGTTTAATAAAATCAGCACATGTTCTGAAGAGTTGCTACGTTTTCAGAATGAGATCTTGAGTAAATAAGAGTCTGGACTGAAACCTGGACATGTCCTTCCCTCCTATATCATCTCCCCTTTTCTGTATTCCTCAGCTTCCTTCCACTGCCTCCTTAGGTCAACAGATGACCAGCACTGGGCTGTGACCTCTGACCCCGCTAATGAAAAGGGGCCACCAAGAAAAAGGTTACTTTCATTCCAGCTGTTGACAAGTGTTAAGTAACTGGCTCTTCTCCAGACTCCTTCATGTTTGACATGTTATAGCTGGTTGCTGATTTCACTATCAGGTTCACTCAGAGACCACCACCCGGGCTGCAGCCAGACACACCATAATAACAACAGTATTCAGAGAGGGGATTTATTAATTACTGTCCACTGCCATAAAGGTGGGGTATCATGTGATCGTCTAACAACCTCATGAACCAGTGGATGCATTTAATGAAACTCTTAGAACGTAAATAATGGATGATTAACTTTCGGAGTCAGCTTGATTTTAGAAATGCTGTAAAACTGCAAATTGCAAACTTATGCCTAACGCACCCTTTTTAACTCTTACCTTATTGAAGACAGATGAGACATCCAGAAAGAAAGAGATAATCACTTTAAACAACCAAGGTTGATCCACTCAATGTGCAGATGATGATTTTAACGAGCAGAATTGTGCACTTATTGAGGATCATTCAGTTGAAATGTTGTATGTATCAGAACATTAAAAATCTAAATAATTAAAGACTTGCATTAATAGAACACAAGGAGGCCCGGACATGGGATGAAGTCCAACATTGCCAGACTCATATGAGAATGGAGACAGCGGGAATAAATGGACCAGGACTCATGAGATGAGAAACAGCTGAGCTGAATGAAATGGGGTGAAGGTATGAGTGGGCATGGCAGGACTGAGGAGTCAGAGACTGACAGGAGAAGGTGAGTGGAGGCACCAAGGACAACACAGATAGGGAGTACTAAATGCAAATGCAACAACATAAATCCTGGATTTAAAAAAAATACATATCTCCTTTTATATAATAAGATAAATATAACTCATCATCACTGTGAACAAACATGTAGGACAACTGTCCATCTTCTGAAACATTCCAGTAACATCATACCAAGGCCTGACGGTGCAATGCTCAGTGAAACTGTACAAAATCAACAAATGAATACGAAGTAAGTACAGATGCTACAGACGCTAGTTCCAGCATGGATTTTTTTTTTTAATTCATACCATACCATTTTATTTATAGAGCACTTAAAACAGCTACAAGGCCAACCAAAGTGCTGTACAGACAGAAACACAGACAACACACGAAGCAAAATACAAAATGAAGTAAATCAAAAATATAGACATAAAAACGATGCAGATAATAAATGTGACGACAAACCAGTGTGGAGCGTACAGGTTCAATTCAATTCAGTTTATTTATATAGCGCCAAATCACAACAACGTTGTCTCAGGGCACTTTACAGGAACATTCACATACATAAAAGCCAATTAGTAAATTTCTCTATCTAAGGAATCCAGCAGACAAGTTGAATCTTGGCTTCGTTGCAGTCTCCCATCAAGGGTTCAAAACACAGATCCTCTGGTGTTGAAAGCTACTGAATAGTAGTGGGTTTTTAAACTGGATTTGAAAACCGAGAGGGAGGGGGCCAGTCTGACAAGCAGAGGCAACTCGTTCCAAAGTCTTGGTCCTGCTACAGAAAAGGCCCTGTCACCTCTGCGCTTAAGACGAGTTCCTGGAACTTTGAGGAGCAACTGGTCCGCTGACCTCAGGGAACGTGGTGGGACATACGGTTATAGCAGATCAGAGAGGGGGGGGGAACTGTTCAGCGATTTGTAGACATACAGGAGTATTTTGAACTGGATTCGAAAGTGAACCGGTAGCCAGTGCAGTAAGGCCAAAACTGGTGTAATGTGCTCTCTTTTGCCTGTACTGGTTAAAAATCGGGCTGCTGCATTCTGGACCAGTTGTAATTGTGCAATGGAGGTCTGACTGATACCAAACAGGAGCAAATTGCAGCAATTAAGCCTAGATGTAATGAATGCATGTATTACTGTCTCTAGGTTATTTTTGGACAATATGGGCTTCAGTTTAGACAGCCGCCTCAGTTGGAAGAAACATGATTTAACAATCAATTTTACATGATTGTTAAGTTTCAAGGAAGGGTCCATTATCAAGCACAGATTAGTGACTCTTTATGATCATACATATAGAAAACAAAGAAAAACACTGAGCAAGCATAGTTTTTAATTGTTTTTAAAGGTTTGTTGGGAAAAATTCTTCTGCAGCCTGATGAAGATTTGTAAAGTTGCACAACAAAACATCTGGAGCGGTGCACAGTTCTACACACCCGAACACAACATATATCAGCACAAACACCTCTTAGTAATAACACACAGAAAAACAAAAGGTAAAGATGATGGCTTTAAAATCAATTTTAGGGGATTCTCTTTAGGGCAGCACAGTGGTGCAGTTGGTTGAGCTGCTGCCTCTCAGCGAGCAGGTTACCCCGGTTCAAATCCTGGTCCGGGGGCCTTTATGAGTGGAGTTTGCATGTTCTCTCTGTGCATGTGTGGGTTTTTTCTGGGTACTCCAGTTTCCTCCCACAATCCAAAAACACGCATGTTAGGCTGATTTGTAACTCTAAGTTGCCCCTAGGTGTGATTGAGAGAGTGACTGGTTGTTTGTCTCTATATGTGTCCCTGCAATGAAATGGAGACCTGTCCAGGGTGAACCCCACCTCACATGGGCACCAGTGACCCCCACAACCCGAAAAAGGAAGAAGCGGGTAAAGATGATGGATGGATGGATGGATGGGTTTCTCTTTATTTAAGATTTATTCAGAATAATTTTTAAATTACATCCTAATGCAGTAGTGTTGCGTCTCTGTGTCCACTGGGTGGCAGGACAGTACTTTATGAGGCAGTGGCGTCCCATTTTCTCATCAAGCTTCTCTTATCTGCATGTTTCTGCATGTTGTAGCTGTTTCTCTGTTTCCACACCTGACTTAAACAAATAGGTAAATATCAGGCTTCTGAGGACATCGAGGACACACTGAAGAAGTAATTTAAGGATTGACTCAGGTGTGTCGGAGCAGGGAACTAAGTAACGTGCAATATAGTGGCCGGACCTGGAAAACTATTATGATGAAGCATGTAGGTTGTGTAAATATTTAACCACAGCAGTGTATATCTGAGATAAAGCTTTTTATGATGCTGCGTGACACAGCTGGGTTCGTTAGTTAATAAAAACTATATATATGAAATAAACTCAAAACGACGTTTAGTGTTCTGTGTTAGCTGTGTTGAGTTGATCTTTTTGTGCTTTAATAGTTCCCTGCATCCTGAAGACATCACCCCCCATCCCCCCTACACACACATACACACATGCAATGTCACTTGCCTCCTATTGAATGAATCTACAAGCAGTCAGCCAGATGGTCTGCTAGATTGTGCTTAGTGCAATGGATGTAGAATTCTATTACTGGACACACACACACACACACTCACGCATGCATGTACGCACGCACGCACACACACAAAAGCAACAAAAGCAGCTCTCCACAGCACAGCTGGTCCATGTTCAGACTCAAATTTGCCAGATGGAGTGAAGCAGAAAGAGGGACAGAATGACAGAAAGCCGTACATGATCTGAATAAAGCGTGAAGCGGAGCAGCACGTTAATTTCACTCACAGCTCTGTGTGTGTGTCTGTACAGTGAATTTACATAGCTATAGCACGAATGCATTTATAGTGAGTGAGAAGTCTTTGCAGGCACAGTTTTTTAAATGTATTTAAACAGAAATCTGTACATGTTCAAGAAAAGGAGGATGGGTTTGGGATTC